TTTTTTTTTTTACTTTTTCTTCACTCGTTTAGATAAAAATAGGACACAGTGAAAATAATCCATCCTCTGCCGTTTACACTGTTATGATATGCGTTGTATTGATAATTTTACCTACTGTGAAATTCTTGGTTTTAGCTAAGATTAACTAGGCTTCGAAGAACCTTCAAGGCTAATAATATAGACTGTCCTCATGTAAGCAGTCTGCTCATTTGTGGGAGATTTTTCTTTAGAATTTTGTGATAATATAGAACTGTGTTTCTCTCAGTAGCCTACACTCACATTATGCCATCTCTTGAGAATCTTTTCCACAGTGGTAACCATGCACAAAGGAGAGGTATGGTCACAATCCAGAAGATACAGCTGTATATGAGACAAGAAATACTACCCTTTAATAGAATCTTTGGCTAAAATCCAGTACAAAACTAAGATTCCAATGTTTTGGGGTTTGTTTTTTTCTTAAGAAAAAATATTTTCTTACAGAAAAAAAAGAATTTTGTTTTGTACTAAATGGACTACATTTCACTCTACTGAAAACCAAACCAAAACCCCTACTCTGTTTTCACTTCTGCTAGTAGACAGTGACTTTTCCCTTGGAGTTTGCTCTCTATGTCGCTTGCTAATGTTGGCTTAAAAGAAAACAAATACAGGCAGGTGCTACACCATCAAATGCTAAGTGAAGACATGCAAAATTGCATAACTAATGGCAGTGTATATTGAAAATAATAAGTTAGGGAAGGTAAATTTATATTTTAAGACTTTGCAAAAGCAGACTTTGGCTTAATAAACACTAATGAGTACTTATGGGCTCATCTATTGTTGAGTATTTTTACAGCCATGAATATGCATCATGAACTACACAGGAATCTTGTGGGTATTTTATTGGAAAATTGTAGCTGAGTGTGGAAAAAAATCTCTAAAATGAAATAATTATTTTTTTAGCTTTTTTTTAAATCAAACCCACAGTCATGTTCCACATTTTCATTAGTATAAGGTGAAACAGTTCAGGCAAAGCAAAAACTGTCCAGAGTTTTTTATTCCATCTTCTGAAATTGACTTTTTAAGATCTTAAAGTTACTGTTTGGGCTTGTTGGTTTGTTTGGTGTTTTTTTTCTAGAGGGAGCAGGCAGGAGTGTCCTTCTGCTCCAGAGATGCTATGGCAGTTGTTCACCATTCTGTAAGCCTGAATTGTCTTAACTGTGATAGCAGGATCTCTTCCCACTCTATGGTCATTGGAGCATCTTGCCTGAACCCTCTCTAGAACTTGTAACTCTGAGTATATTATGCCTTATCTGACCTTTTTCTTACTAATCCTTATATGTCAGATGACTGGAGTAGTCTTGCTGCACTTGAAGACATTGTCCTGTTGAGGACAAGATAGCCTTCACTGATTGTATCACCTGGAGTAAACACTCCCTGCAGCACACTCAGTGACACAACCATTCCTGGACCACGGCATGATGGCTGCTTGGTTCTACCATGCCACATGCACTTTGAATTACCATAGAAGTCGGTATCATTCTGTTCGTCCTGTGCAAGTTTAGACTTCAAGGGACAGTCAGCAAAGGAGGAAACAACAGCAGCTGAAGCCCAGAGCAGTGTGTTTTACTCTGCTGTGTTCTTGGTGAGTGTATTAAAGACTGGAGGAGATGTTCACTGAATTATGAACCAGGAGCCCAAGTTTCTGCTGGAAAGGCATGAGCTAAAAGTAGCTGAAGTGTCACTTTTTGTTTCACACTAGCAGCTCCTAGGAATTAAATTGTAGAGAAAAAGATAGGGGAAGTGATATAAATGGGCTCTCCCCATTTGCTCTATGAGTAACCATGAACTCTCTTATGCGAATTTATCCTGTGATCATCAAGTGGAATTTATCTAGCCAACTGCAACTGGAAATAAGCAGCTGTATAAGTAACAGTGAAAAGTAGGACATGATGGTTGTCATTGATTCTTATTGTGAGGACTGGACATCGCATTTAGCCAGCCATAAGTATCTGAGAGTTGTCAAATAATTATGAAGGTATTATGACAACATAAAAGTTACTTTAGCAAGACAGATTATGGAAATGATGGCTAAAAGGAGAGGGGTGAGTTTGGTTGGTTGGTTGGTTGGTTATGTTTTTTACTTATTTTCTGTAGGGGGAAATCTGGGAGATAGGAAAAGTCAAGCCCAGAAAACCTGATAGTTTAGGGCTTTTTTACATCTTTCATTTTGGTTTCTCAAAAAGTATTTGTTTACTTGAAATTACTTTTACCCTACTGAGATAAGTTACAGACAGAGTAATTTTTGCTAAGTTTCTATTAACTCCATATAACACTGGGAAACTTCTGGCTCAGCTTCTCAGCAGGTCTGAAAAACACTCTTCTGACTTCAAATAACACGATCCAGTATCATTTACATCAGTGAAAATAGGCTGATTTATGTCATTCAGAAAACCTGTGATTCTGAAATAGAGATCAAATAGGAGTGTGATATATAACTGATAACTGGAGCTATGTGAAATCCTCGGTACAAAGTTGTGGCTGTGGACTGTGAATTGTTTTAGCTTTCCTAGTTAGATAAAATGTGATTTTTTTTAAAGAGGGTTTTAGCACTTCCAAGTGATTTCTGAAGAACCAAATGATGGACATAGTTTAATGTCTGGATTTTGACCTACTGTGTCAGAGACTACCCAGAAAGGCTTATGTCTAGATTCAGCCATGAGTAATGACTAAGAAAAACGATGACGGATTGTAGGATCATTCTCAACAAAGACTGCAGTTAAGGTAGACTCAGACTCAAAGGCCTGATTACCTGAGCAAGAATTTATAAATTCAGACAAAGTATCCTATCAATTACTTCTTCTTTTTGGTACATGATTTTGCGTGTATTCTCACAGTTTCCTAACGTTATCTGGACATGTTGTGGTACATTTTCAAACTCGGCTTGATAAGGTACTTCTTTATTAATCATTTAAGCAAAAAACTGCCAACCCCTAAGTGTAGGAAGTAGCGAGAGAATTGGAATTCATTAAATTCTTTGCTCCTACCTTTGTGTTTTTTATTGCAAGATAACTATTTTTCTTGTATAAATAGGAAAAGTGTTTGAAAATTGAATTTGTAGATGCTTACAAATGTTCATGTGAGCTCCGATGTATGGGTGTATACATTGGCTTTGTTACGGGCATATATAAACTTTAAGTCACACTTCAGTCCAGACAGGTACTGACAAAACCCGACTGGTCAGACTGAGAAACTAGCACTGCAGGCTCAATACATATAATAAGTAATACATATTTAGGCACAAGAGTGGGTACTAGATAGTTTTGCTGGTGTAAGTCCCTTTGTCCCATGGCTTCCTCCTTGAATATGAAAACTGTAAAACCTGTTACCAGAACAGAATGATTATATGTTTACAGGAAGAATTCATGACAGAACAGGGGTAATGGGTTCAGACTTAAGCAGGGGAAGTTTAGGTTAGATATAAGGAGGAAGTTCTTTACTGTGATAGTGATGAGGCACTGGAATGGGTTACCCAAGGAAGTCATGAATGCTCCATCCCTGACAGTGTTCAAGGCTGGGTTGGACAGAGCCTTGGGTGACAGGGTTTAGTGCAGTGCTTCCCTGGCCACAGCAGGGGGGGTGGAACTTGATGATCTTAAGGTCCTTTCCAACCCAAATCAGTCTATGATTCTGTGATTCCATGAATAGGTGGGTAAAACATACGTGTTCCAACTACAAGTAAGGAACCTTGTTTCAGAGAAATAAACCATAGGTTCTCCTGGGATATGGTGTCTGCATAGAATGCACATGTTGTTTTAAGCTTAATAAAGCAGGATCAGTGAGGAGGTTAGGCTGTTTAGTGTTTAAGCACCCTGTAGAGGTTAACAACTGTGCTTGAAAGAAAGCTTGTGAAAATTATTTGTCATTCACTGCCTTCTCACTGTTTCTTGCTTCTCCCCCCCCCCCCCCCCCCCCCCAGTACTTGCTAATTTAGAGAAATTTCAGTTCTGCCTAGTGTCCTTCCTTCCTTCTCAATTTTCGGTTGTTTTCTTTATGGCCTCAAGCTTATTTTAGCAGTGTAATCTGTTAAACTGACTATACTGACTTTACAAAGTCATTGTCTTAACTTGAAGAGATTTTACAAGAGATTAAAAGTCTTCAGGATCATTCGATTTTCACACTTTATAAAAAAAAATAGATAGCAATTAGTGAAGAAAGTGAGTTTTAAATATTCACTTCTGATTCTGGTGGTTATTTGTTTTTTCAGTCAAACATGGTAGTCTGCAAATTGCTGCTAAAATGCTGCATGGAAACAGAGTATGTGTGTAAAGGTCATAGAAAGCCTTAGGATGGATCAGGTAAACAGTCAAACTGCTAGGAGACAAGCCTGTAGGAATTGGGTAGCCTAAATTGAAGGGCTCAAAAAGCTGTTTATTATCTACTTTTCATTGTTTAAACCAAGGAATGGTCTTCTCAAGCAGATCCTCTGTTGCTTCAGGGTTTCACCAGATCTATAACAATGTCAAGCACATTTTAATGTTATTCTAGGTTAACTGCTCTGCTCATGCAGCCCTCCTGCTGGGAACAGTCCTTGTTCAGATGTGCTTCTAAAATTACTGTATGTGAGGAAAGCTCACAGGTCTCATGGGATCTCAGTGCAGATTTTTTAACATTGTATTTCCTCACTTTATTGACGGGCTTCATTCCAGCAATAATTCTAATTTGTTTAATAATTACTGAATTTCTCTTTTTCCTTTTACTGTAAATACCAGGGACTTGTCTATATACAAGTAGATGATTTTATTTGACACGTGTTGCTAAAACTGAAGATTAAAATGAATTTTTTTTTTATCTTTTTTCATAGGGAAAGATATTTAAGGATAAATTTTGGGCAGCTCCAGGATAAAATGAGCTATGAATCTTTTCACTTCTCACTCCTTTTGCAAAGGCATTCATAAGAATCTCTTACTGGTAATCTCACTGATATCTATATCTGTACTGTTCTTTCATGCGTGCTAATTCAGAAGCGATGGAAAAGAAATAGTAGAAACAGATGAACAGGCTTCAACTTGGATGGCACTGCTGGCAAAAGCAGCAAGACAATTTGCAGTATATGAAGAGAGAGTTACATCTACTTAATGACGCACAGGATTATGCAAAGCCAGGTAAGTGAAGATGAGCACAAAAAAAAAGAAGCTAATAATGAATTGACAAAGATTCACTTCGTCTTTTGGGGTTTGCTGCTTTTTTCTAAGTACATTCTCTATAGTCCTTAGTGCACAAATCTAAGTGCAAATCCAAGATATAATGAATAAGTCTGTTTATATAGTGCCCACAGTGTGCTGGGGGCTATGTAGTTAGCCCAGCAAATATGGTATCTGTTTGCAGGCATGTAAAGCAAAACACTAGCCACGTGGGACACTACCTTTATTAATGTCTTTTAGGCAGCACATGTTTTTGTATTCATTTTCTGCCAAATCACTTCAAGATTCCTCTTCCAGCAGCATGCATAACCAGGTACAGCCAACCATATAGACCTGTGCAGAATAATTTGATGGAGAATTTTAGCTCCTGGTTTGTGACCTACTTATACTTAAAGTGAGACTTCAAGATGAATGTGGTTTTTGCACATATACCTATGCTACTCTAAAATTTAACTTTGCTAAATGTAATGCAAATTCAGTGCATTTTGCCTTCACCGTCTGGAACAAAAGTGCTATGCCTTACTTTAAGCACACATTTTGCATAACCATATTAAGTTCTATATATTATTTTAAAATGCAAAATGTATAAATCTATGTAGCTGCAAGAGCATAAGCAGAACATATTACTCTGTTAAAAGAAAAGCACAGTCCCAGAAGAATAAAGCATCTGTATATTAATCAAGCTCGCTGGTATCTTTGTTTCAGGAAAAAAAAAGTTAACTTTAAGGGTTTTTTTTGCTTTAATTTATGAAGTATGAGGGAATATTAAGCAATAATGCTCTCTAGAAGACAGCATTTAATACATGAAGATATTCACATTTTTATCATACTAGGCTCAAAGAAAAGCCATAACATTTTAAAATTTATAATGTTGCAGCAGAAATAAATTCCTAAGATGATAGTTTCACTGTTTCTGTCAGTCAAAGTAGCAGTTACAGCTCAGCAATCAGGTCCTAGTTCTCAATTTGTCTTTCTTAAAAAATGAAAACCTCAAAGTTTTCTTAAATTAACAGCAAAATTTCCTTTAGTGTAAGGAAAGTTTCAGAAGGCAGAGAGATGATGTCTAGGCACCTACCCCTTCTCATGGACCTCACCTGTGTGGAACTAGGCAGTGGCAGGTCCAGAGGTGGCTCCTAACTGGTGCCGAGGAAACCAGCAAGGTGATTATTTTAATTCAAGGAAGAGGAATTACTCTTTACCATCCTGAAGAGTAATTGGATTTGTCAAAGAAGGCAGTGGCTGCTCTCATAGATGTGGGAGTGACAAGGGAAGCAGTGCCCTTTATTTGTGGAAAGCCTTAGGAGAAAGGAGAAAATATGGAGCTGCTGCAGAAGACACTGGAGATGGAATCTGAGAAATACACCATTTATTGAAATTGCAGCCCCTTTCCCAGTAATATCTTTATGATATGCTCAGTGCACATCTGCCTTTGTGTGACTCCTCCACTCTACAAGAGGATCATAACAGCGTCCTGGGCAGAATTTTGGTGCTGCTGTGCGGATGTGCAAAGGAAGGGGGAGAGAGGTGGCCCAAACAGTTTCCATTTGCTCAGTTAAAGATGAAGGCTCAAACCACGATTATTAACAGTGTGTCTGAAATTGCTAAAACCAAACCAAGCTTGTTTTTTCTTTCTGCTTTTCTAAATTAATTCTTGGTTTCAGGAGAATGCAAACAAGCTATGAGCTGCCGAAGTAGTTGCTCCCATTATGTATGGCCCCACAGGACAGATAACTCGTGTAACTGCATATAATTATGAAGGTATTATTTTACCATTTGCTAGATTGATTTTCAGCTATAATATATTGTTTGCACAATCAGGAAAGTTCAGAGGGTGCCATGAAGGTGATCTGAGGGCTGGAGCACCTTTCCTATGAAGACAGGCTGAGAGAGCTGGGCTTGTTCAGCCTGTAGAAGAGGAGGCTCCAGGAAGACCTTATAGCAACCTTCCAGTACCTAAAAAGGGCTTGCAAGGAAGCTGCTGAAGGAATTTTTACAAGGACATGTAGTGACAGGACAAGCAGTGGATTTAAACTGACAGAGGGAGGATTTAGATTAGATATTAGGAAGAAATTCTTCACTGTAAGAGTGGTGAGACATTGGCACAAGTTGCTCAGAGAAGTTTTGGCTGCCCTATCACTGGCAGTGTTCAAGGCCAGGTTGGATGGGGCTTTGAGCAACCTGGTCTAGTGGAAGGGGTCCCTGGTGATTGGACCCCAGGGTGATTGGAACTAGATGATCTTTTAGCTCCCTTTCAACTCAAACCATGCTGTGTTTCTGTGAAAATCAGTAATTATTGTTGTTTCTACATGCTCGTAGTTCAAGAGTTCTATTTACAAAAGCATTTAAGCTCCTATTGCCAAAAAATTGTTGTCAGTAGTGTTTTCTGCATCATCTGTTGAAATCCATAGGACTTGCACTGGTACAGTTACATTTATGTGCTTAACTGCATGTTTGGTTGCCTAAACACTTTTGAGAATATAATCTTAAATTACTTGTCTGCAGTAACACAAGGGCTTATGACAGACTGCCATCATTTACCAGCACTCACAATCATAATCTGCTCCCTACACACCAGAATGTCCTTTAAAAATCTACTGAATAAATCACCTATGCCTAAATAATTACATGTTCAGGTTGTAAACCATTAAGGTCCACTGATTTATTACAAACCTTTAGAATATGATGCTCTGGTTTTGTAAACATTCCCAGGCATATCAAGAAGCAATGCTTCTGGCAGAGAAACAAGGCGGAGAAATTGTATTTCCATGGTTTTATCTTAGTCACCAGGTTCTGCAAAGTATATTTCCACATGAATAATGATATCCTGTTCTTCACAAAATGAAATCTTAGTTGAGGCATGTTGTTTACCCTAATTGGAGGAAACATAAAAGTCAACATTCCTTAAACTGTTATTTTGATAATACAGTGGGAAATGCTGAAATGGTTGTATTCTGCTCTCTTATGTAGACTCCAAGGGTGCATAAATAGTTAAAAATTTCTCAAACCAAAAAGTAAAACTTGGGTTAAAAGCTCATGGATTTTCCAGTTTACCATTCTTCTCACAAAAAAGCAATTTAGTCCCTACAGGCCTTTTAAAGCTGTTATCAATGCCATAAATGGTCACAAAAAAGTGCCACAAATGACTATATAATGACTATATTTAAAGTTAATATGCCTTTTGTGTGTGAATATTACCTTTTAGGAAGAAGGAATGGAGAGAAATATATGAAGTTTGGGGTGGGTTTTTTTTTAATGTCATTTTAATTACCTTGAATTTTAAGACTCCATTGCACACTGGTAATGTGATATAATCTAATGTAGAGTGTGTTTTCCCATGTATTTACCACTGATTTTCAAGAGAACTTTTGCAATGTATTTGTGGAAATTCTTTTTTTTTCTTGAAGGTTTGCACTCTGCTCACAGGCACATTTTATTTTATACATGGTTTCTTCGTTGTTTTATGTGTGATGCAGTAGTTGTTGCATGGCTGCACATCAGACTGAACAGACCTGCCTAGTTACTGTTTTCGCTTGATAATAAGTGTGTCATAAGCCTTGCAAAAGGAGAAAGGAGAACAAAGAGAAGTCCTCTATGATCACTCAGGAAAGTAACTTCTAGCAGGATTGATTGAAAGGACTTTTTGATAAGAGGGTGCTCCTCCCACACTGGATTTATTCTGGTTATCAGTGCATAGATTGGTACCCAGACCAATGCTCTGTATAGCCATATTTTTAGTTTTGATACTTCAAACTAATCTGGACTCCTAATCTTAAACCCAGGCTGGTAAACTCCAATCCAAACATCTGGTAAATCAAGTATATCCGCTCCTGCTTCCTGATGGTGATGTGATAAGTTAGAAGTTGAGCTGAAGCTGTTTTGGCTTGTATTGTTTATGCTGTGTAGCCAAGCAGAATATATGTTTTTGTTTTCTTCACTGTGCTAGGTTAACCTTAGCAATTGGTGCCTACCCGGCCTTTCTATCACTCTTCTTCCTCTGCGGGACAGAGAAGAAAATATGATGAGAGTGCATTGGAGAAAAGAGAGTATGGTCAGTACATAACGGATTTCTGCACTGCTTCTTCCCTCTCACACTTTTCCTCCTCACCCAGTGTGGGCTCCTCATAAGCTGCAGTTCTTTAGGGATGTCCATCTGCCCACCACTGTCTTTACAGGGGCTGCAGAGTTCTGAACCTTGTACAAATCGCAGTGTATACCCACTACCTGATACTCTGGTATCCACTTATTAAAGACATTCCCTACAGCCTGAACTGGAGGTTTCTCTAAAGGCTTAGGTAATGTTTAGGGCTTGAAAAGGTGTCCTTAGATGTAATTTTCACACATAACGTTTGCTTTTTAAGGCCCTAAGTCCCTGTGCTTAGGGATGGTAAGAGTGGGCAAGCTATCTAAAAGCCTGTAAACAGTAAAGCGTTACAACTGAAACATGAGGGATTTGGTTTTGTTTCATTGCAATTCATGAAGAAGGAAGGGAGAATATAGAGTCATGATACAAAATATTTTTTTCCTACACTTCAGATAGAAATATGTGTTTAGGAGGTATTGGTTTGAGCATCATGATAAAGAACTAGAAATCTTCCCTTGGAATATCTGGCAGAAGAATGTGTTTAACTTATGTTGTCAAGGTAACACAAGCAGCATTTGCAGACCCCTTGAGTGCTTTATTTTGCATTCTTTAATATTTGCCTGGTTTGGTGAGCAGAGTTGCACTCCTGTCAGAGTATTGGCAAGGGCCAATGGGTCACTGCTGAAATCTACCCATTACACTTCTCCAGTGCTTTAAGTTGATCTTGTAACTATTAGAGAAAACAGATGGTTTGAATCTTCTTTTTCCAAGCATAAGAGGTTTGAAAAGCCCGTTTAAAGTATTTTTTACCAAGTTTACTAGACATTTACAATGCACTTTGAATGAACGTATGGGGAAGAAATAGTTAAAGCTGCAAACAATGTGTTTTGTCTCTTTTGTTTCCTACCATGAGCAAAATCCCTTTGTGCTGGACAGTACACAATACAGGATTGGAGTCAGGTTTTGAAATACCCCTTTGTAGTGCAAGGGGCTCTGCATGCCTATTTTTCCACCGATGCTTTGCTGATTGAGCTGTAGAAATGATTTCACAATTACTCTGTTTATTCACTATAGTGCACTAATTCCCTCTATGAGTCTTTAACGCACATTGAACAATTTGTGTCTGTAAATTAGTTGCAAAATACACCTGCAAAAATAATTTCTGGACCAGTCCCTTTGCATTTTTCATCAGAATGGTTGAAGTCCCTACACTGGATTTCACAGTATGGTGACTGTAGCTGCAGGAACACTGTGGGGCTCTATTTGTGAGAAGTGTCATGAATTGAATCCCATGGTTCTGATCACAGGGGGTGACTAGCAATGAACCAGCCCCTGTATATTAAAATATACTGAAGTACATTTTGAAGGGCAACTGCCAAATTGTTCTCCGTTTTCACAATTAACAGTTAACCTTTCCTGCTTCCCTCAAAGTCTGAAGCTTGATATTGAACTCCATAACTTAACTTTGATTATTTCAGCAGACCTGGTAGTATGAGTGTGTTCTGTCCTGGGACTGCCTGTCATTTCACCGGAATCTTTTAGAGGATTTTTTTTGTCATCAATTGCAGGCAAATATCTGTTGTCTGTATTTGCTAATGTCTACAGCCTGGAATGTAATTTTTGTGAGTAGGATCTACAGGCATAGTTAGCATAATTAAATACCAACTGGAACACACAGAATGTGTCTTCACAGGCATTTGAGTTCAGATCGGAAATGTGCTTTAGCAGTGAATATCTCAGTCATTTCCCATCCTATGTTCTTAGTTGCTGGCTGGGGTTAAACTACAACAAGCTTTGGACTAGGTTTCTGTTGCATGAAAATAAACTAGGTATGTATGTAGCCCAGGAGCATTCATAATCCTCTTTGACCTCTTACAGTCATTCAGTCAAATTAGAGCTAATCTGAGGTAAAAAAAATATTAAATAGATATAGTCTAGATATCAACCGCTCAGAAGCGAGTTTCACTCAACAGAGTTGTGAAAGTTGGACTGAGCCAGTACTAACTCTCTTTGAAATCAATGACACTTTGATCATTTCCCCAAATGCTGGCTGAAATGACTTCACCACTTCCTGAACTGACCATGAATTTGCATATCTGAGAGGAAAAATAATAATTTAAACCTTTGGCTTAAATAGGTTCCCTTTCCGCTGAAGTTCATAAAGTTCTAAAGAACTCAGTGTGATTTCTCTCTGTATGAAAATTAGTCTGAAATCATAGAGTCCCTTGCAAAACTAACAACAGCAACAGAAAAATCTTATGCTGTTCTGATAAATTTTCTTGTAGTTTTAGGGAATAAATAAAGCTTGAAATCCAGATAGAACTTGTATTATTTCATAAAAACTGATTTGACTTATTTGGAATTACAGATGGTATTATGTATCTTCTTTCCTATTAATTCATTTTTGTGTGTGTGGTGTTGACTTCCAAAGCAAAATTCTAAAGAAAGAGATACACTGGATAAAAAGCACTGTGCTCCAGATCACAGGGAAAGTCCATTACTTGGCTGACGGCTGACCTGCCATTTATAATTAATATCAGCACAGCAATAAACCAAAATGGCTACTTTTTCACCTAGTGTAACATCTTCTGTCTTGTCCTCTTTAAACCTCTTTCAAAACACTGTATCTATTGGCATATCCTTCTAAAATACCTTTCAGTCTTGTTTTTTGATCTTTTTAGCCAGTTGATCCCATTTCCTCACAGTGTCATTTTGTTTAATTGAACAATGTTCTCTTAATTAAGAAATCATTAAAGTAGAATTTCACTTAAAATATCTAGATCTTACCTTCTTTCCTGTTTTGCTCAGGAAGACAATCTGTTGGAACAGCTGTGTGAACAA